ACACATGCCAAATAACTCTTATGTTAGCAGTAGACTTAAGAAAAAGAAAAAAAGATTGAAAACTTTTATTTTTTAAAAAGTTTTAGGCCAGGGCTTGAGGGGTGAATATTTTTAATCCCAATATTTAGGAAGCAAAGACAGGGGTATCTCTGTGAGTTGGAGGACATTCTGTTAGTTAGAGACACCCTGTCTCAAATAATGAAAAACAAAACAATTTTAGAGTGTAAGAAATTACAATACTCAGAAAAAGTATTTGTCACATACCAAGGAAACCTGGGACCTTGAGAGTCTCATCATAAATAATGATTTTATTTTAAAATTAAATTTATTCTTTTAGAGACAGGGTCTTGTAGTATTTGTATTGCACTATATTAAACTTTCAAAAATATGTATGTCGATCCCGCCCTCGCCAAAGCCATGGAGGCAGTTCCCTCACTCTCCAAAGCTAACTAAGTATCTGAAGTTACTTGATGGGGCAGATGCTGGCCAGGAAGGAGGTTCAGAGGCCCTTCGGAAGAGGCAGAAAAAAGGACCTAAGCTGGGAGGCACCGCTGGCAAGGGATTGAGGATTGTTGATGATGATGTGGGCTGGGCAGCTATCTCTACCACGAAACCGGAAAAGGAGGAGGAAGAGGATGGACATTTGCCTGTGGTGGCTGAGCTTGTGGGTGAGCGTCCAGAAGAGGTAAAGCAGATGGAGGTCTTCCGCTCCAGGGCCAAATGGAAGCTCCTGGGAGACCACAGTGGAGATGGACATTTCCATCATGATGAACAAGATCCATCTTATCCTAGGAGGGTTCGTCATGACGACCCAGATCCATCTCCTCCCAGGAGGACCCATCTCTCTCCTTCTCGAAGGAGTCCTCGTTCCGGGAAGAAAACTGTATTTCGACACAAGTCTGGTCGGAAGAGGAATTTGAAGCTGGAACGCCTGGAGCAGAAGAGAAAAGCAGAGAAGGACTCAGAGCGAGATGAGCTCTATGCCCAATGGGGCAAAGGGCTTGTTCAGAGCCGGCAACAGCAGCAGAATGTAGAGGATGCCATGAAGGAGATGCAGAAGCCTCTGGCCCGCTCTATCGCTGATGGAGATCTGGATCGGATGCTGAGAGAACAAGAAAGAGAGGGGGACCCAATGGCCAACTTCATTAAGAAGAATAAGGCTGAGGAGAACAAGCATAAGAAAGTGAGGCCTCGCTATAATGGTCCTGCACCTCCTCCCAATAGATTCAGTATCTGGCCTGGCTACTGCTGGGATGGAGTGGATAGATCCAATGGCTGGGAACAGAAGCGCTTTGCCAGGCTCGCCAGCAAGAAGGCTGTGGAGGAGCTTGTCTACAAGTGGAGTGTGGAGGACATGTAGCTTCTCCGAGGCTGTGCGGTGCTGTGGTGGTGGTGGTGGCACAGGACAGCCCGACATCCAGCTCTAATGCTTGTCTTGTTAGACACAGACCATCAACTCGTTTTCAGTTCTGACCTTTGGACTGGGCACCTACCCTTAGCTGTGTTCATGTTGTCTGACTGGCTTTGGCAGGACACAGTGACTTCTCTATCCCAGGGCTTGTTCTTAGCCAGTGCTTTCCTTCTTATTTTAAAAATAAACACGTGGGCTGGAGAGATGGCTCAGCGGTTAAGAGCATTGCCTACTCTTCCAAAGGTCCTGAGTTCAATTCCCAGCGACCACATGGTGGCTCACAACCATTTGTAATGAGGTCTGGTGCCCTCTTTTGGCCTTCAGGCATACATGCAGAAAGAATATTGTATACATAATAAATAAACAAATATTTTTTTTAAAAATAAACACATTTATTTTTTGTAAAAATGAAATAAAATAATAAATAAATAAATAAAATTTATATTTCTAAGATGTGCATGGTAGTGCATGCCTTTAATCCCAGCACTCAGGAGGCAGAGGCAGGTGTATCTCTGTGAGTTCGAGACCAGTCTGGTCTATAATTTCAATTCCAGGACAGCCAAGGCTATGCAGAGAAACCCAGGCCCCCTAAGAACTATTTTTGCAGTGGATCTGTGTGTGTCTTTTGTGGCTGAACATGAGCAAAGAACTTCTCAGTCACCCATTTTCCAGCAGGGTACCTTGAAGGCTCTGTCTTCTCAAATACTCTCATATCTCATATGAAATTTGCTCTCTCACACCTTGGCACTCTCAGTGGGTGGTGTCTTGTTTCCTGTTGTGCTAGTGCAAAGTCTGAAGTGTCTCCATAATGGTGCAGGCTTTAACTTACAGCTGCTTTGTCTCTACTGCCCATTCTCACGTGAATTGGGTTCAGGTTCCTTTCCTTACTAAGATGCACAATCTGTCCATAATTTTGACAGGGTTCCTACCCATTTTTGTTTTGTTTTGTTTTTTTGCTAATATGTCTATTTTCTCGTCTTTTTGTGCTCTCTCTCTCTCTCTCTCTTTCTCTGTAAGTCTGGATAATTACTGTAAGCAATAACCATGGCATAGCTCCTTTTTTGTATTGTCTTGAAATTTCATCCTTGAACTTAGCCCCCCCACCCCCATCTTTTTTCCCCCTCGAAACAGGGTTTCTCAGTGTAGTCCTGGATGTCCTGGAACTCACTGACCATTAGCTCACTGATTTTTAAATTCACTCTCACTTCAGCTTTCAGGATATGGTCAAATGCAAGAACCAGATTCTTTGCCAGAATACAGTGTGAATGGCCTCCAGCTCAATTCTCAGTAGAGTTCTCTCTGAATCCTCACAGAGAGCTGGGGGAAGAAAGAGAAAGACAAAGAGAAGAAAGAGAGAAGAGAGAGGAGAGAGTGAGAGAGAGAAGAGAGAGAGGAGAGAATAGAGAGAGAAAATGAAAGAAACCCAGGCTGATCTCAGACTTCATTTTTTTTCCTGCCTCAGCCTCTGGAGTGCTGAAATAATATCTGTGTTCCACCACACCCAGCTCACACATTTTTTAAGAGGGATGAGAAAAGTTTTGGGGTTTGTTTTCAGTACCACAGTGTCTTAGGGTTTCCATTGCTTTCAGCGAAATGCCAGGAGCAAAAACCAAGTTGGGGCAGAAAAGGGTTTTTCAGTTTACATTCCCACATTGCTTTGTTCATCATGAAAAGAAGCCAAGAAGGGAAGGAACTCAAGCAGGGCAGGAACCTGGAGGTAGAAGCTGAAGAAGAGGCCATGGAGGAGTGCTGCATACTGGTTTGCTGCTTATGCCTTACCCAACCTCCTTTCTTATAAAACCCAGGACCACCAGCCCATGGATGGAGCCACCCACAATGGGCTGGACCCACCCCCATCAATAACTCGTTAAGAAGATGCCTTACAGCTGGATCTTAGGGAGGTTTCTTCTCAAGTTAAGGTTCCTTCCTTTCAGATAACTGTGGTTTGTGTATCAAGTTGATATACGATTAGCGAGTACACACAATTAGCCAGGTATTGGGGCACATATTCATAATCCCAGCACTAAAGAGGCTAAGAAAAATGTGGGCCATGTATTTATTATTATTCAAGGTTAGCCTGAGCTACATAGCTAGTGTGTCTCAAACAGACAAACAAAACAAGGCCTCCCTCAGTTGGGTAGGCATGGGCCACGTGAGATCTGTCTTCACAATTAATAATAAAGTAAAAAAGAGCCATGTGTGTTTTGCATGCATGCTAGTAATCTAAACTCTTAGGAGGTAGAGGCAGGAGATTCAGAATTTCAAGGCCAGTTCCAGAGCACGTTTGATGCCAGTCCAGTAACTCAGGCAAACATGTCTTAAAAGGGGTAGCAAGGTAATAATATAAAGTATTCCTTATATTACTTAACATAGTAATAAGCTTTATGGTCTTCAAAGAATTCAAGTTCAAATCCTTGCCTCCCTAACTTGTAGTTATATGATCCAAAATATATTTAACCTTGTTGCATCTCTAGTCCTCATCTGTAAAGTAGAAACAAAAATGGTGGCTATATTATACTATACACATAGCTTATAGACATTAGTTAACTTAAGTCATATGATGGCCATAGGATTATTGATTAGACAAACATTAAACATTCCATTCTTGTCACAACAATTGCCTATTTTTTTATAGTGTTTCTAGTGAATGTCTAGAAGCATGAGTCAGAAAGACACTGTGATGCTTCATTTTAATTGCCAAACTCGAATGGGTTATAAAATGCCCAGAGCACCAGCGGACCACACTTTTGGATGTGTGTAAATCTTCCAGAGCAGATTAACTGGTGGGTAGGAACACTGCCTGGCCCTGAATATAGGTGGTACTGACATGTGAACGAGAAGCCTCGAGTTCCCGCCACCATGGAACCACTGGGCACCACGCCTTCCTGTGATGGTGGACAGTGTCCCCTCGTGCTTGAAGCCAAAATAGCCCTTCTTCCTTCAAGAGGCTTTAGTCAGGCACTTAATGAGAGAATCTAGAAAGGAAATAATACAGGTATGGGAAAGTCGGAGCACTGCCATAGTAAACTTGACCTCACGCTTTCTGGACTGGTGTGTGCGAGGGATGCTGAAGAGCCTGGAGCTATAGGGTGAGAGAAGCCCTAGCCCTCCCTCTCTCTCTCTCTCTCTCTCTCTCTCTCTCTCTCTCTGTCTCTCTCTCTCGCTCTCTCACTCTCTCACTCTCTTTCTCTTTTCTCTCTTTCTTTCTCTCTGTTGCTTCTGTCTCTGTTCCTCTCTTTTCCGTCTCTCTTTTGCTCTCCCTAGCTCTCTCTCTTTCTCCCTCTTTATCTCCCCCCTTTTCTAAGAGAAATATTTTAGAAATATTTTCTAAGAGAATAATTTCTAAAGAAAAATATTTCCTTTGGGTGTTTTGTTTTTTGTTTGTTTGTTTGGTTGGTTTGGTTGTTTTTTGTTTTTTTGTTTTTTTTTTTGTTTTTTTGTTTTTTTTTGCGACAGCCCTTGCTGTCCTGGAACTCACTTTGTAGACTAAACTGACCTCGAACTCAGAGATCCACTTGCCTAGGCCTTCTAAGAGTTGGGATTAAAGGTGTTCACCATCATTGCCCAGCACAGCCTGGGTTTCTTAATGAGACACCTTCCCCTCAAAAAAGAAAGTTGGGGGCTGGAGAGATGGCTCAGAGGTTAAAAGCACTGGCTAATCTTCCAGAGGTCCTGAGTTCAAATCCCAGCAACCACATGGTGACTCACAACCATTTGTAATGAGATTTGGCACCCTCTTCTGGCATACAGGTATACATGCAGGCAGAATATTATACATACTATACATAATAAATAAATAAAAATATAAAAAAAGAAAGAAAGTTGGGTCCTGTGAGCAAAGATACGTTATTTTTTTGAAAATAAAAATGAGAAAGTGTCAATTTATTATGCTATGCTTGTAACAAGACTACTACCAACCAAGCCAGTTGGAATTTGAAATCCCTTATCTCTCCCTATGTACCTGAGAGTGTAAAATCAGACCTGTTGAGCTGCAACAAGGAATTTTGAGAAAGATGCAACAGCACACACTATAATCCCAGCATCTGTGAGGTAGAGGCTGGAGAATAAAGATTTCAAGATCATATTGGCCATGCAGCAGGGTTAAGATCTCAACAAATCGAAACATGAAAATAATTTTACTTTCTGTGCTTGAGTGTTACATCTAGGATCTGTCACCCCCAGGAACTCTCTGGCTATTAGATAGTTCAATAATGGCATAGTGGGTAGGGACACTTCCTACCAAGCCTGATGATCTGATTTCATCCTTAGGTACCACATGGTGAAAGGGAACTGACTGATCCATGTGCTGTGGCACATGCCCGTAAATAAGTTAGTCAGTAAATATATGTCTGTAAAAATGAAGGACTATTGATTATACTGCCTGTGTACTTTGTTACCATCCAGGCTAACTTCATCTTGTAGTGTAGTGCTCAAGAAGAGCTATTTCCATTTTCTCTGATGGTTCAGCAGTGAAGTGAGCTTATTCTACAGAGGACCCAGGTTCAGTTCCCAGCGCCCACGTGACAGCTTACAGCCATTGTTATGCCCGAGTTTATATCCCCAAAAGGAAACCGAATTCTGACAGATTCTGATGTAAAGCGCAAGAGGGTTTTTTAATATTCAAACTTGAGTTTGGACCATAGCTCTACCATACCAATGCAATGCAGTGGGTGAGAGAAGTGGAGCCTGAACCCGGGAATGGGTGTTGGGGGGTACTTTTAAAGGAGAAATGCCATAGTAAAGGGAGTTCATGTCCTGTCATCCTGGGATTGGGTAAGGAAGGCATAGGGCAAGGTAGTCTCAGAAACCATTGATCAGTTTTGGGTCATGAAAACCCTAACAAAGAGCCATTAATAACTGACAAGGTATCTTCAAGGGCATTATGCCCCTAGGAACTTCTGAGCTCCATTAAATTTTATGGCCCTGCTCCCAGGCTCCTTAATTGACTATTTTCAGGGTATCCATTCAAATTGTGCTATCAAAGCACATTTCTTACCTGAGATCCCCTCCTCATTATTTGGCTTCAGATAATACCTTCTCTTTAAAATGGAGTCTGCAAAGTCAGATCCTCACACCACCATTAACTCCAGTTCAGGGGATCCAAAGCCCTGTTCTAGCCTTCACAGACACCAGACGTGCAAGTAGTGCACAGACGTACATCCAAGCAAAACACTCAGACATGTAAAGAAGACATCCTGAAACAAGATAGTTCCATTTTTCCTCCTGTTGAGGACTGCTTGCTTTTGGAATAAATAAGAATCACTGTGGAGCCTGTTAAAATCTCCAGGCCTCCTCCAAAGAGATTTTGATGAACCAGGTCAAGTAGAAGATGAGAACTATGGGTTTTAGACACCTCTGGTGATTTTTAGGGTTTTTTGTTTTTGCTTTTGTTTTATTTTTGAGGCACAGGCTTTTCTCTGTGTAACTTACAGACTGGCTTCTGCTACAAGGCTTTCTTCTTGCTTAACATCCCAAATGCTGGGTTTACATGTGTACACCACCATCCTGGTCTCCTCAGGTATTTCTTTGTTGTTGTTTTTTGTTGTTGTTTATTTGTGTCTGAGACAGGTGTAGTCCTGGATGGCCTTAATTCACTGTATAGACCAGGCTGACCTGGAATTTGTGACTGTCTACCTGTCTCTAACCCTGAGATATCAGACTTTGTTTTCCTCTCTGACTCCCTAGCTGAGTTTTATTCAAATAACAGACAAAATACACTCCCTCAGTTCGTGGGCTCCATGTCACACTTGGTTAATAAATAGCTTTTACTGGGCGGGTGAGGTGGTCAAGCCCGGCGACCTGGGCTTGATTTCTGGGACCCACATGGAAGAGTGAGAGGACTGAGGCCCAGATTCTCCTGACCTCCACATGCGCACTGTGGCTGCAGTGTCTGCCCCCAGCCCAATAAATAAGAATGTGTAAAACAAAATAGCTTCTACAAAAGCCAAAAAATATCACAGAACACAAAATAAGAAAACAAAACAAAACTCATTTATTTACTTTGCCTTTTTTTTTTTTTTTTTTGAGACAGGATCTTACTATGTTATGTAGCTCTGGCTGTCCTGGAACTCAGTCTGTAGACCAGGCTATACTCAAACTCACAGAGATCCACCTGCCCGTCTGCCTCTGCCTCCTGAGTGTGTCACTGCCCCCCGGCTTATTTTTTTCTATATGTTTCTCTAGATTTAAAATGGATGACTACTTGGTGAACACTTCTGGTTGTAAAATTTAATATTTCGTTTTTGTAATCTTAAATTTTTGGTATTGTACTCTTTTTTTTTCTAGACAGGGTTTCGATGCCACTTTTTTTAAAAAAGTATTTATTTTATGTACATTGGTATTTGACCTTCATGTATGTCTGTGTGTGGGTGTCCAATCCTGTGGAACACGTGTTACAGACATTTGTGAGTTGCCATGTGGGTGCTGGGAATTGAACCTGGGTCCTTGTTAGAGCATCCATTGCTCTCACCCACTGAACCATCTCTTTAGCCCCCTGATGCCACTTCTTAGGAGATGTTCAATAAAGGCACTTAGATGTTTTTATTTTTTGGGAATTCGGGTTTTTTTTTTTTTTTCTGGAGACTTTGGTAGAACTAGCATAAGCAAAAAAAAAAATTTTTTTTTGAGACATGGTTTCTCTGTGTAGCCCTGACTGTCCTGGAGTTTGCTCTGTAGACTAGGCTGGCCTCAAACTCAGAGAGATCCTCCTGCCTCTGCTTCCCAAGTGCAACACCACCACCAGGCCAATAATTTTATTTTGAAGAAAAAAGGATATTTTATAAAATCTCCAGAATGCCGTTAGGCCCCAGTGATTAGAGAGCACAGCACCATGGAGAAGTTGAGTCAGTTTCTTGCCCTCCCCACTGAATTCCTTCAGGCTTGTAACTTTTTTCCTTTTGCTTTCCAATATGAATGTAAAAAATGGCTTTGGTCAACAGTTCCTGATTTACACGGATTCTATTGTAGAAAGCACTAGTGTGGAGCGAGGGTGGAATTAATCCAATTCTACATTCCTGGGAAAGCAGCCATGAGTAGCATATTGGGTAAAGTTCTGTCTTTTGATTGTGGCAAGAGGCAGTGTTGTGTTGTAGGGTGCTTCTGTGAGCGCTGCTAGGATTCTCCATGGGTGGAGGTGGACACGGGGTGAGTGGGTTCATCATGCTTGCGAAAGCATCTCACAAATGTTGCATGTTTCAAGTGAAAAGCAACAATACCGAAAAAGACAAATGAACCCCACCCAGTTGTACACATTAAAAAAATGGTTTATCTTGTATAGAACCCTTATAATAAGTTCTCAGAAAAAGTGATCTTGAATCATTATCCCATCCCGCCACCTCCCCCACTCCACCCTCAGGCATAGTTTCTCTGTGTAGCCTTGGCTGTCCTAGAGCTCTGTAGACCAGGCTGGCCTCGAACTCAAAGAGTCTGCCCGCCTCTGCCTCCCAAGTGTTGGGATTAAAGGTGTGCACCACCACTGCCCAGAGATCTTGTGCTTTCATTCTTCCTTCTTTCCTTCCTTACCTCCTCCCTCCCTCTTTCTTTTTGACAGGCTTTCTCTGTGCAACAGTCCTGGCTGTCCTGGAACTTGCTTTGTAGACCAGGCTGACCTTGAACTCACTGAGCTCCACCTGCCTCAGGAAGCGCACCACCACTGCCCAGCATGCTTTTATTCTTAATTATGCATATACCAACCAATGGCCTGCAGTCTTTTATTTTTAAGATTTTTTTAAAAAGCGTTATTTGTCACATGTATGTGACTATGTGTACCCTTGGAGGTCAGTGTTAGAAATGTATTCTAACGTGAGCTCTGTGTCGACGCAAAAATATCAGTCAAGCCGAATTAAAATATACGGGACCCGACTGGACGGGACACTGCCTGTTGACCTTCCGGGTAGTAGTTTAAATAGACTGGGGGAGCGGTCCTGACCTCCTCTGGGGAGGGGTCAAGGTTTGGAGGGCTACTTTGACCCCTTGACCCTCCTCGGGGAGGTGTCAAGGTGCAAGGAGTACAGAGACCAGAATTTACAATTAGAAGAAGGCATCAGATTCCCTGGAATTGGAGTTCTATAGATGATTGTGAATCATCAGGTGGGTTCTGGGATCTGAACTTGTAAATTTGTATCCTCTACAAAAATAACATTTTTTTAAACATGCAGCCATTTCTCCAGCCCCTCTAGAGTCTTGAGTGGTCAATTTTAATCAGCAGTGAATTTTTAACTCATTTATAAAGCACCTTTTACCTTATTTTTTTTTTCATGGTGCTGAGATTTAAACCCAGGGTTTCACATAAGCTAGGTAAGTGCTCTATTACTGAGCTACAATGCAGCTTGATAATTTATAGATCGTATGTGTGTGTGTATGTATGTATGTATGTATGTATCTATGTGTGTGTTAGAGACAGGGTTTCACTGTGTAGTCCATACTGGCTTTGAAATTAAAGAATTTCTCATGCCCAGCATTATCTTTGGATAATTTTTCAAATTAATAACCATATGTGAGGCCATAAGGGATATTGGCAGGATCACAGGCTTTTGAACCAGTCTTGCACTTTAATTTTCTCTGTCACTTAGTGACAGTATGGTTACCTGATCTCTGTGAAATGATAATAATCCTTATGATGAATGATTTGAGAATCAAATGACATGCAATAGATAAAGCTCTCAGACTTAGTGTAATCTCTGCCCCAGATCATGCCTTTACAGTTGGTTTTCTGCAAAAGGGGTGGGTGGCTGAAGAGCGGTGGATTGCTGTTTTGTTCTTTAGATTGTAGTCTATGGGACTGGAGGGATGACTCAATGGATAGAGCATGTGTTGTGCTTGCACATGACCTGGGTTTGGTTCCCGGTACTCAAATGGTGGTTCCTAGTTGTCTTAGGTTTCTACTGACCAAAAACGACTTGGGCAGGAAATGGTTTGTTTCAGTTTACAGTCCTACATCATAGTCTATCACTTAGGAAAGCCAGGACAGGAATCAGTCAGGGCAGGAACCTGAGGCAGGAGCTGATACAGAGGCCAAGGAGGGGTGCTGCTTATTGGCTTGTTCTCCATGATTTTCAGTATGCTTTTTATAGAACCCAGGACCACCTGCCCAGGGATGGGACCACCCACAATAGGCTGGGCCCTCCCACGTAGTCAATAATTAAGAAAATATCCCACAGACTTGCCAACAGGCACATTTTTATGGAGGCGCTTTCCCAGTTGAGAGTACCCTTTTTCTAGTGAGTCTAGCATGTATCAAATTGATATAAAACTAGCCAGGACAAGCTAGCCTGGTGGTGGTGCACACCTTTAATCCCAGCACTTAGGAGGCAGAGGCAGGCAGATCTCTGTGTGTTCCAGGACAACCAGAGCAGCTATAAGGAGAAACCCTTTCTCAAAATACAAAAACAAAACAAGATTTAAAAAAAAACCCCCCAAAAAACCAACAACTTAGCTAGGACAGCAACCATAATAACTCCAGTTTTAGGGGCTCTAAAGCCCTTTTCTGACCATTGTGGGTACCAGGCAGGCACATCATACACATACATACATGCAGGCAAAACTCATATACATGGAATAAAATAAATAAATATTGAAAATAAATTTTTTGTTTTGTTTTTTGAGACAGGGTTTCTTGGCCAGGCAGTGGTGATGCATGCCTTTAATCCCAGCACTTGGAAGGCAGAGGCGGGTGGATCTCTATGAGTTCAAGGCCAGCCTGGTCTACAATAGGTAGTTCTAGGACAGGCTCTAAAGCTGCAGAGAAACCCTGTCTTGGGGAAAAAAAGGAGGGAATGAAAAGGTGAGATAGGGTTTCTCTGTGTAGTCCTAGCTGTCCTGGAGCCTACTCAAACTCAGAAGTCCACCTTCCTGTCCTTCCCAGAGTGCTGGACATAGAAGCATTATTTAGATTCGGAGGTAGAATGCAAAAGGAAATAAACATTTTTGCATTGCTTGTTAGTTTTCATATAGTCATCAATGATTTTAGTAAAATAAGTTTTGTATTTTTTCTTTAGTGTCACGCTGGAAAAGAAGTAAAACTGAACAAAAAAGCTATGAGTGGAGTTCCTCTGTAAAAGAAGAAGTAATTCTTGAGATTATGGATCGGAGCAAGCGGAACTCAATTGCAGGATTTCCCCCACGTGTGGAGCGTCTGGAAGAGTTTGAAGGAGGTGGTGGAGGGGATGGGAACACTATCCAAGTGGGAAGAGTTTCGTCATCTTCATATCGTGCAATTATTAGTGCCTTTTCCAGACTGACGAGTTTGGATGACTTCACCCGTGAAAAAATAGGATCTGGGTTCTTCTCTGAAGTGTTCAAGGTGAGTGGTGATGTCTCATCTTCTTTCGTAGGACTTTCCTGATGGTCAGAACCACTGCAGAGTTAATAGTTGTTTATGGTGTGTTCTCTGATTGTTTCTGCTTTAAGATAGGGCCTCTCCATGGAACCCTGACTGGCCTTGAACTCCTAGAGATCCACCTGCCCCCACTTCTGAGTGTTGATTACAGGTGTGTAGCACCACATTTTCACTGATTCTCCTGTTCAACCTTCTATGTGCTGGGATTACATAAACTGTGAACTACCAGGTATGATTTAAGCTCTTTTGAGAGACCTCATTCATTTAACTCCTACTTGTTGGCAATGAAATCCAGGGTCTTGTCCATGCTGGGCAAACATTCTGCCTCTGAACCACCTATAGTCCCCCTTCCCTGTGGGGTACATTTGTGTATGTATACATAAGTGTGCAAGCATGTGTGTTCTGGCTAGCCTCACACTTACTGCATAGACAGGGCTGTCTTTAACTTATATTGACTCAAATCTGTTTCCTAAGTGCTATGGTTACAGGAGTGCACTACCATGTCTGACAGTCTCATGTCTTAAAATATTATTTTTGTCTTTCATTGAGCATCTAATTTCAATATAATTAAATATGCTTATTTTTAATTTAATTTTATGTGTATGGCTATTTTGCTTGCATCAGATTGCCTGGGTTACAGACAGCTGTGAGCTGCCATGTGACTGCTGGGAATCAAATCTGACTCCTGGAAGAATAGCAGATGCTCTTAACTTCTGGGCCATCTTCTAGCCACAAACTTAGTTTTTAAAAGTTAGGTTCATATGTACTTTGGTTTGAATATGGCTTGTGCCTTCCAAAATTTATGATAAAGTTTAATCAAATCCATTGTAAAGTGTTACTTCATCTGTGGTGTTTACGGTATTTCTTTTCTTTGTGGAAGAGTCCTGGGGCTTGAACACGGGCCCCTTTTGTTGTTGTTTTTCGTTTTTTCAGGACAGAATTTCTCTATGTATATAACATTCTGCCTCCATGTATGCTCGCATGCCAGAAGAGGGCGCCAGATCTTGTTACAGATGGTTGTGAGCCACCATGTGGGTGCTGGGAATTGAACTCACGACCTCTGGAAGAGCAGCCAGTGCTCTTAACCACTGAGCCATCTCTCCAGCCCCAAATATTTTTATTTTTTAAAATTTATTTTTTTAAACTATTTATTTATTTATTTATTTATTTATTTATTTATTTATTATGTATACAGTATTTTGTCTGCCTGTATGCCTGCAGGTCAGAAGAGGGCACCAGACCTCATTACAGATGGTTGTGAGCCACCATGTGGTCGCTGAGAATTGAACTCAGAACCTTTTGAAGAGTAGGCAATGCTCTTAACCGCTGAACCATCTCTCTAGCCCTAATAATGCTTTTTACTAAGAAAGGATTGGTGGATAAGAACAAAGAATATTGAAATAAAATGTTTGAAAATACAAAAATGAAACCCATCACTGAGTATGAAAGCATAGACAAAGGGGGTAAAAAAGCAAGGATGGATGTTGGAGCTGGGGATGCATCTCAGTGATAAGAGTACTTGTTTACTATGTACAAGGTCTTGGCTTTGATTTCCAGCACTCAGCGAAAAATCAAACGAATATTGGAATTTTTCTAACTGCCTTTTCAGAGTCTGGGGCGTAGTAATTAATTTTATGCCTTATCAACCAGTCACCTGGGTCATGAGCTATCAGATAATTGGCCAGATATTACTCTGGATGTGTTAGAGTGTATTTTAAATTGAATTAATGGACTGAGTTAGGTAGAATAGCCCTCTTAAGATAGATAGCCTTCAACCAATGAGGCCTCAACCATTGGCAAGAGAGAACTTCCTGCCTGAGTGATGAGCTGAGATATATCTTTTCCTGGCTTTGGACTAGAGATGAAAATGGAGCTCTTTCCAGGCTTTGAGCCTATAGTTGTTTGGTGAAAAACACTATTTTAAGCAAGAAACACAGAGTAAGGACCCATAGGAGCTCAAATCATGAAAACTCTCATCATTTATTTTTACCTTGCTTCTTAGTTTTCTATGTCCTGGTTTCTCTTGAGAAGGTAACCACTGGGGGATGGAATCCTGTGAGGGTATGTCTCCAGGGAGCCAAGGACTTCATACTTAGGCTCCAGCTCCTGATTTTCGTTACTCAGGCTGGCCTCATTCTTGCTATGTAGCCAAGTTTGAATTCTTGATCCTCTTGCCTCTACTTCCCCAGTGCTGGGATTACAAAATTGAGCCACCAAATCTGGCTCGTTTTTTATAAGCAATCATTTATGAGGCATTTATTCATTATTTATGTATACTTGAAAGAAGTATTGTATACAGTGTTTTCTGTTCTCTATTAACAAGATTATGGAAAGAGGATCTAAAATATTTATGAATCAAAACACAGCTGGGTTACACATGAAATATAATAAACACTAAATTTATATACAGCTGTGCTATAATAACAGAGATGGTTTTAACTCATGTTTTTATTATCAAAACATTTTAGCTCATTTCACGAAGAAACAAACCAGTGTTGGGTTATGAAAACCCAAATCTGTTATTTTTAGTCTGTCTTAGTTTTTTTTTTTTTTAATTCTCTAATTTCTCGTTTTCTGTGCCTGAGTGTTGAAGAGCTAACAGCTTGAGGGGATGACAGCAGTAGATAGGCTAGAGGACCATCAACTCTTAATAGAGACTAAACTGAAACATCTTTCAGGTAGCTGCTGCCCCCTTGGAATCCATCAGTGTGAGCAGCAAGCATGGATATTACATCATGGTTGGGCAAATAGGAGTGGGGTGGATACCCAAAGACCACAGTGATGACATTGTGTGCAGTGTTAATTTATTTTTGATGGCTGCTTTGTGCTACAGTGGCCAAGCTGAGCAGCTACTGGAGACCACAAGTCCTCAGAGCCCTATTATGTTATAATTGCTGTCTGACCCCAAACAGAAAGTTTGCCAATGCATGATCTGATAGCTATCGTGTATGGCTGAGTGGAACTTAGAGTTTAGTTTTGATTATAAAGTACTAATGGCTATAGGACCTTAAAGGTCAGGGTAAATGAAACATCAGTGACCACGAAAAGAAATATTTGACTTCAGATACAAGTTACACAGGCAGCTTAATGACCTTCAGCTGCCCTAGGGAGAAGGCACAGGAAAAAGGGAGGGTGGATGGTGGCCAGCTTTGCTGTCACGTGCCTTCATTCCTGCCCAGCACTCAGGAGGCAGAGGCAGGTGGGTCCTGAAGAGTGTAGACTTATGTGTGTTCTTCTAAAATAAAATTCGAGTTTTGGAATTTAAGATCCTGTAGACATCCTTAACAATAGGCCTTCCTTAGTTATGTCACCTGCTTAGGTTAGACTGTCCTTTGTTTAGCTCTGAAGTCTGCTCTACAGAAGTAACTGGCTCTCCAAAAGTACTGATAGCTCAGACTGCGGACTTATACCAGGGGCCCTTCTCTGCTTTCCTGTGTTTGTTTCTGTCTCATTAGTATCTAGCACATCTCTGTCACCTAGAGAACACCCATTAGGTATTTGTTGCATGAGAGAAGAAATTTATGTATACATTTGTGTGTGTGTGTGTGTGTGTGTGTGTGTGTGTGTGTACATTTACACAATAGTAGAGAATCCAGAGATTCACTGTCTGGATTTGAATTTCAACTGCCACTATAAATGTTCTAACATTGGTCAAATAATTTGACTCTGCTTCCATTTCTTTATCTGTAAAAGTGGAGATTTGAAATAGTACTTATGTCAAATGGCTCAGCCAGCAAAGATGCTTGCCCCCAATTCTGGCAGCCTGAGTTTCACCTCTGGGATTTCCATGATGAAAGGAGAGAATCAGCTCCTGAAAATTGTCCTCTAATATGCACACATGGGCTGTGGCTGCCCCTCCAGTAAATACATAAATGTAATTTTAAAAAATTGAAAAGCAAAAGAACTAATACCTATCTATGGAGTTGAAGATATGCTACAGTAAGATATGTAAAGGACTTATAATGATGTCTGTCTATAACAGCCTATTTAAGAGTCGCTTGTTAATTCTTTCATATACCTAAGAGCTATTCAGTTCTTTGTGCTAGATACTATGTTAACTTTTATACATTATCTTGTTTAATATTTACAAAAATTGTTTAAGTATTATACTTCCATTTTTTTAAAAAATATTTGTGTGTGTGTGTGTGTGTGTGTGTCTGTGTGTAAGTGTATACCACACGTGTGGATACCCTAAGGAGGACAGGAGAGTGTGTCAGGTCCCCTGGAGCTGGAGTTATAGGCAGTTAGTTGTAAACGACCTGACATGGATGCCGGGATCAAACTTGTTTAGCCGCTGAGCCATATCTCCAGCCCCCATACTTCCATTTTTAATGAAGAAACTGAGGTTCAAAGATGTTTACTGTCTTGTCAGGTACTTGCTGAAGCTAGGGTTTCAATCCCTGGGAGTGGGAAGATGCTCAGTGGGAAAATATTTGGTGTGCCAACATGACCTGAATTTGGATCACCAGAACCCACATGAAAAGCTGGGCATGGTGACCACACCTGTTTCTCCAGCTCTTAGGGGTAGAAACAGGAGGATCCTGGGGGGCTTGTTGGTTAACCAATCTACCCCAAAAGACAAGCTTCAGATTCAGCGGCAGTCCCTGTCTTAAGAAATCAGGTGGAGCCTGGTGGTGGTGGCACATGCCTTTAATCCCAGCCCTTGGGAAGCAGAGGCAGGCAGATCTCTATGAGTTTGAGGCCAACCTGCTCTACAAAATGAGTGCAGGTCAGTCAGGGCTACACAGAGAAATTCTGTCTTGAAAAACAAAGAAACAAAATCCCACAATAACAACACTCCCACCGCAAAAAGGAAAGAAATAAGATGGAAGAGCTGGAGAGATGTCTCAGTGGTTAAGAGCACTTACTCCTTTTGCAGAATACCTGGGTTTGGTTCCCAGCACCCACATGGTGGTTTACAGCCATCTGTAACTCCAGTTCCAGAGGATCCAGTATCATCTTCT